CCCCATCTTTCTCTTCAGGCTGGCTCCTCCTGCCCTGTCTTCCCGCGTCTCCCCCAGCCCACCCCCAAAGATTAATGTGATAATTGCCATGTGTGCCTGTTTACACAGGGCGTGGGTGAGCCTACCACCCCCAATCAGGCAGGTTCCCAAAGGAACGCATTCCCACAGTGTCACTGTGCACTCCTGTGCAGGTGGGTTGCCGCCCCCAAACTTCTCTCTCTCTCTCTGTGTCTGTCATCACTTTTGTCATGTGCACACGTGCATGGGTGTGTCATTCAGTGAAGCGACAGGTGAGACGCTGGGGAACAGCCAGACTGGCCTCAGGAGAAGGGCCAGGCGGAGAAATTATTGTGCATTGTAGGTACATCAGCCCTAGAGAAGACAGTGATCTAATGAAAAGCTCTCCGTCTATTAGCTCTCCGTCTATGGTGGGCATGCTGGGGTGCTCCAGAGTAAAGCAATAAGACATGGGGGAAAGGGTTTAGCAGGAGAATTGGTGTGCTTGATTAGAGGCTGGGATGTTCACATGAGGCTGTTTGCAAGCTGGTGAAACCAGTAGAAGCCAGCAGTATGTCTCCCTCCAAATCAGGAGCTTTGGAATGATGGAGGATGATGGTACAACCCCTAGACCAAGGTCAAATAAAAGCCCACAGTTTTGGGGAGGCCACTGGTTCAAGTCCCAGTGTCAAGATCAGCCAGAGTTCTAATGCCCAAGGTCAGGAGAAAAATAGTATCCAGCTCTAGGGAAGGAGTCAAAATAAGGTTTAAGCAAGTGCAAATCCTGATATTCCACCTTTTCATTTCCCATCTAAGTCCTAGCAAGTGGGAGGCACCTATAATCCTGTTGAGGTGTCTTCCCTACCTAGGTCTCTCTGATCTACAAGCAGATTTTCTCTGGGTGTGACATATCACACAGACCAAGCTTTATCAGCCACCCAGGCATCCAAAGTTAATCACTGTAGCAGGAGTTCCATGGGTGTGGTATGAAGAGGCTGCTGCTCTCTGGGTAACATTCATTGCAGGGAAGGGCCTGATTCACACTTAATTGTTCCCCATTGGAGGTCTGGGTGGTGATGGTTCTCGTATGAGACTCTCCTAGGGTCGGGTCAGAATCTAGCAGAATATACCTTGGAAGCTATAGTCTCCTGCCTCAGGATTTTACCTGAAGACCTTAGCATGGCCGTCTCATGTTCTCAAAGTTAAAATAAGGTTTGAGTATCCTATCTACAAGAGTGCCCTGTGAGCCCCGTGACAGTCAGACATGTGAAGAAAGAATGAAAGGGTGAGTTTCTCCTTTTCTCCAGGCTGTGACCTCCTACCCCCTCTAGAGAGAGTCGCCTGGACAGCGCAAGAGAAAAATGACCACACTTTGTGGCTGCACTGGCAGGAACATCCTGACTCCCACTTTCCACAGTATCTATCAGGATGCTTGCCGCCTTTCATGTCCTTGGGCTTCTTTTTAAAAAATCTCAAAATATACTTCAGTAGACATCTCTCCTACACTGGACAATTTTAAGTTTTTAATAATGATGAATCAGAAGGAGATGAAAACTCAGAAAGAACCCTGCTATTCTGAAGGAGGGAATCGTGAGTGAAGGGCCTTTGCTTGCCCACTTCCTGATGGGGCTTGTCCCCTTGGTCTCTGGCTATTGGTCCATAGTGACCGTGTGAAAGGATGGGAAGCCTCCTGATCAGGAATGATGGCGATGGCGGAGGGTGGGAGCTGGGTGTGGAGAGAATGTAGCAACTTTTTCAAAGGTTGCAAGTAATGCTGGGCACTGTCGAATTACCCCCGCTCCCCCGTCAGTTTACTTAGCTGTCAGTTGTTTCCTTAATTAACCTTCAGGGCTTCACGTGGCTGGGGCTGATGTCTTCACAGCTATTCCTTTCTCCCTTCGCTTCCCCTTCCTCATTTTCTCCTTCCAGGATGCTCCCTTGCTGAGGTAGAAGACACGCATAGCAATTGAGAGAGAACCTCCACAGATGGAGAACCTATTATCAGAATGGATTTTGTATTGGTCTATTTTTAACAAGAGAATCATCGTATTCAAAGTGTGGCCATTTATTAATGAATTACTTCTGTGTGTGCCAAAGTCTTTGTCACATTCCAGATAATTAAAATAACCGGGTTAGTTAAAAGTAAATCCCAAATATTCTCACACAGCTCTGACTGGACCAACGTTATTCATCGGGAGTGTTTTGTAACAGAGTTAGGAAGGATATTCCAGACTTTTAGCCAACAGGGGGATTCTTTTATCCCTATGTCTTATGGGATATATTCGCTGATGTATTAATAGATTTTCTTTGAAAAAAAAAGTTTTACAACCAAGAAAGTTTATGAAATGGCACAGTAAAGTAAGCAATATATCTTTTCCCACAGTTCTTCTCACTGCCTGTGGATATATATATATAAGCTGCTGTATTCCCTAATGTTCTCTGGTTACCAAAACCACTTCCCACAAAATGCCACCATTACCTTTTATAAATTACGGCAATAGAGAGTCCACAAAAAAGCACAGTGTTTTACCCTGCAGCCGCCCTCACTGATCTTCCACCATAGCTCAGCTGGAGATCAGAGATACCTCGACAGCCATGGATTCCGTCATGGTTACTGTTGATATTGATACATCTATGAGCAGCTGAGCTCTGTTCTGGGTGCTTGGTGTAAATTTAGCCTCTGTTGCCAAAGAACTCTGAAGGGGACTGGCAAGACCACAAAGCCACATGGATGTATTCATCTGGAGCCTCTAGTGAACCATCAAAGTGAACTAGGCTTTTTTTTTTTTTTTCCGAGACAGGGTTTCTCTGTGTAGCTTTGTGCCTTTCCTGGAACTCGCTTTGTAGATCAGGCTGGCCTCGAACTCTCAGAGATCCGCCTGCCTCTGCCTCCCAAGTGCTGGGATTAAAGGTGTGCGCCACCACTCCCGGCGTGAACTAGACTTTAAAGACTATTTGACTTAGGATCCTGAAGACAGGCAGAGATAGCCCTTCCTCATCTCAGACACACTAGCCTCCCCGTCCTTCACGCCCCTGGTGACTCTCAGCATTTGGTTCTTCTGCGTCTTCCTTCTGATGATGGGACATGACTTTTTTTGAGATTTGCCTCATGTCCTCTCTACTTACATTTAACCCCAACCTGGTGAAGCCAAAGGCCTAAACCTCAGACACTGAAGTTGGCAGGACTTTGTTCCCTTCCGTTGTTGAAAAATGTTTTATAATTTCTTTGTGTTGAATTTTGAGTCAGCTTGAATTGTACTGGGCTCATCTGAATTCAGTGCAGGGCCAAAACAAAAGGCACAGATTTGCCAAAAGGGCTTGGCTTAGGGATTGTTTTTAATGGAAGATCTGACTGTCCAGTGACAGCAGCCATGATCAATCAGCAGATAGACTTATGTGACTTGATACTTAACTGAAAAAGAAAATGAGGTAATTGGGGAGAAAAAAAAAAGATTGGATTGTAGATATCCACAAGATACATGAGAACAATCACTTTAAAATAAATTTTCAAGGTCTAGTAGTGAGAAGGAGAAAGAGGTATGTAAAAAGGATGGGTCAACAGTTGCCATAGACATCCTGAACTCTGGTTTTAATTTTATTAAGCATGTTAGTTATAAGAATGACATTTGATCTTGATGGTCCTGATTTCCCCAAAGAAATGGGGATAAAATATCTATTGTGAGTTTCAACTTGATATTGAAAGTGATGCATGAAGGGTTGGGTTAGGGGGAGAGTTCAAAAGTCTGCATACGTGCAATACAAATCCAGAAAGCCCCTTTTAAAAGACATGGGCAGGGAGAACTCAGGGAACAAGAGGAGCCCTTGGTCAAGAGACAAGGATGTCAGAGAGAACACCTCAGTATTCACTGAGTTTGATTTCAAGGGTCTCTTAAGAGACAACAATCCCAAGGCAAGGTCTCCCATAGGGAGTCAGCAGAGCCTGGTACATCAGTTGAGGCAGGTCCAAGCCCCTCCTCCCTGCACCAAGGCTGTGCAAGGTGTCTCACCATAGGCACTGGGTTCCAAAAAGCTAGCGCATGCACTAGGGACAGGTCCTAGTCCCACTGCCTGGGGGCCCCCTAAACAGTTCAAGCTAAACAACTGACTCCCCATGGGAGACCTTGCCTTGGAGGAGTTGGGAATGGAGGCTGGGGGGGAGGGGGAAGGACAGGGGAATCTGAGGTTGATATGTAAAATGAATAGAAAATCTCTTAATAAAAAAAGGAGAAAAAATACAATTCATTCTTACTCAGTTCTGGGCACCTCAATAACTTTGCATCTATAAGCATAAGAATCTATAATACAGATTTTTGTGCTCCCCCCTACTTTTCTGTATCAGCATGAGTTAGGGGAGAAGGAAGAGTGGAGAGAGAGATCAGCAGAGATTGGAAGATCTCATATGATCACTCTTCGAATCTAGATATAGTCCTTGCTCTGCCCAGGGCTTTACTGGGGCCAGACCTGGGCTAGCTGTCTACAGGATCATGGTGGAAGAAGGAAAGTCATCCCAGGAGCTGGGCAACATGGTGTGAACCTAATTCCTTCTAAGCACCCATACTAAGGGCTTTTACTAAGTTAGTCCTACTAACACCCATGGGATAGGGTGACAGGCACAGCCTGCCCTTGTTTTTTGGTAATCTATCTAGCTTAAGAGTGCAAAGGTTGAGAGTACATGTTACCATGAATCATAAAGCCAATTCCCCTTTTTATAACATTGGAAATACATTTTGCCTTTTTTCCATTCTGTTTTCATATCTTCTAAGTAAAGGTGTTAGAGTTTTCCCACTAAGGATATTACAGAGATGCTGCTGTGACCTTCACTAGGCACATGGCAGAGTGTGAGTTGTCTTACAGTAAAGTGGAAAGGGATGGGAGTGAGATAAATGTTTAACTGTAATCGCACCGTGATTGTTACATCCCCCTCTGTATGAAGCTGCCGGAATGTAGGCTTTGCTTCTGGGAGTCGGCTTTAAATATTAAGAACCCATTTTTCTTTTTTTCAGACCAATGATGCCTTAGGAGCCACCTGGAATTGGCTGTACTTCATCCCCCTCATCATCATTGGATCCTTCTTTGTTCTCAACCTTGTCCTGGGAGTGCTTTCAGGGTAAGCCAGACGTTTCACTCTTCTTTTGTGAGCTGCTAGCTCAGAGCTAATGCCTTCCGATTCACGACAGGTTTACTCATTTAACTGTCCCTTAGAAGACACTTACTGGACAGCCCCTTTGTGCCAATGCTGTTTTAGCTGCTTCAGTCCAGTAACAGGCGATTGTTCTAACCACCTGGATTATTTTTAGGCATTAAAAATCTTTGTCATATACAGTTCTGAACGCAGGGTCTTGTGGGTTCATTTATCCACATATATATCCATCCATTCAATAACTCTATGTCAAACACTGTGCTGGTTGTTAGGGACATAAAGTTAAAGAATATACAGATTTTATCCTCAAAAAATGCTTGCTTGCTTCACAGTGTATTGGACATCACGTCTCTTGTTTGCGACTTGAATTCTTCCATACCAATTTGTGTTGCCCAGTGTCTAACATGCTTTGTGGAGAAGATATTTTTGTCATTGGAAAAAGGGAGTACAAATCTTGTTCTTATTGACCAATGTGAAATACAGTCATTTGTTTAAGAGAAGGAACAAATCTCATAGGCTAAAGTCATTAGAGTTGGTTTCAAACAGGACTGGGAATTGCATGCAGGATAAGTTATGCGTTAGCATAATACAGGAAAACAGAGTATATGGAGATAAACACGCCAGAGAAGATAAAGAAATGGGACATGGCATGGAGCATAAGGAAGCTAAACTATGACATTTTAAGATGGCTCAGCCCAGGTAAATATTTTAGAAAACCCTACATTTCACTGAGCCGAGTTGGGATTGTGGTAGTGGTGATGATGATGATGATGATGATGATGATGATGGTGATGATGATAATTTTGTCAGTTGGTGTAAGCTCTTCAAATGATAGCAAGTAAAGTGATCTTTGTGTATACATGTGGCAGACTGAAACAAGTTGGGGATTTTTTTTTTGAAACTCTATGAATAGAGAAAAGACACATTAAAAGGACACAAGAACAAGGAAGTGGGAGAAATGACAGCAGATGGGAATATGAACAAACTTATTAATACTACAAATGGTTAACGCCGCAGTAGTTGTAAAAGCTTAAGCATCTCCAATGGAGAATGACAATAAATACGCAGACTGATTTCCCTTGTGAGTAGAAGAAAGGCTTGGGAATTAGAAACAGCACATATTCCGAAGAATTGGAATGCACATAATGTTAAAAACAGGAGACTGATAAAAAAAAAAATCAATCTTACTTTCCAGACACTACTGGCAAGTATCTGCCCCATTTAGCCACACCCCTAAACAAATTAGGAGACCTACTCTCTGTTGAAGGAAGGGTTGGAAGAGGGACACTTGCTGCATCCCAGGGTGGGCTTGACGTTGTCATGGAAACAAGAGGCCTAAGTGACAGTCCATAAGCTGAATGTCGGTTCCCGAGCCCACTTCTGTTTTCTCAGAAAAACCGCAATCTGGCAATAGTTTAGAGGATTCTTCTGTGGGGATTCTCTCTTAAGAGAAAACATTTATCTATCACAGTCTGGTGAGGTTAGAGAAGCAGGTTCCCATCCCATCTCCCCTCGTAAAGCTCATTATGTCCATTCCCTTTGGCTATCACAATAAACGGCCACAATGCAGGCAGTGTAAACCAAAAGGAATTTTATTCTCTGGTAGATTTTGAGTTACAAGCTCCAGATCTGGCAGGTCCACTGGGAGAATTATGTCTTCCTTCTTCCAGCTTTGGTAGATCCAGGCATCCCTTGGATTATCACAGTGTCATCCCTCCAGTCTCTGCCTCAGGGCTCACATAGCCTCTTCCTCTCCCGTGTCTGTCATCTCCCTCAGGTTTGCACTTATAAGGGTATTTGTGACTTGATTTAGCATCATTGGATAATCTAGGTTGATCTTTTCTTCTGAATATACTTAACTTTGCTGCATCTGCAAAGATTCTTTTCCCAAATAAGGTAATGTGCAGGAGCTCCAGGAATTAGAATATGAATGGTCTTTTTAAGGGGTTGCAGCTCAGCCCACTGCATTCAACACTCCCCAAGCCCCAGCTATGGGTGCCGAATTTCCACTGCCTTGCTGGTAGTGTGAACACATAGCCAGGGGTCATCAGCATTTGGGCAAACTGCCCAAATCGAAAGGCCCTAAGTGACATGTTAAACAGACCAAAGAAACTTGAGTGAATATGAGCAGTGCAGGTAGTACCAGATAATTTTTAAAAAAACCATATTTGATGCCAGCAGAGACAGAGAAAAAATTTCATATACAAAGTTACAGCTTATTACAAAAAGATGCTAAAAGGTCTTATTAAATAAAAACAAAACTGGAGCCAGGTATTGGGGTGAATGCTGGAAGATCAGAGAAGCAGAACAAGCCACAGCCACCTCACCTTGCCAATTCCACAGCTGATCCTGTTTCCTCAGACTGGAAGCCTCTGATTTCAGCTGAACTGTTGTTCAAAAGCCTAAAAGCCTAACCAGCTGTTGTTCCTGGTCCTCACGCCTTATATACCTTTTTGCTTTTTGCCATCACTTCCTGGGATTAAAGGCATGAGTCACCATGCCTGGCTGTTTCCAGTGTGGCCTTAAACTCACAGAGATCTGGATGGATCTCTGCCTCCCAAGAGAAAGGATTAATGGTGTGTGTGTGCCACCATTTTCTGGCCTCAATGTCTATCTAGTGGCTGTTCTGTCCTCTGCCCCAGATAAGTTTATTAGGGTGCATGATATATTGGGGGGACACAATATCTCACTACATGTTGAGATTAAGATGAACTGTTGGAATAATATGTAAACTGTAATTGATCAAGTGTGCAAAGCTGAGTTCATGTAAAAAGGCAATCAAACAAAGAGTAAAGTTGGAGTGCAAAATTGGATACCACTTAAGAAGTGGGGTAGAGGGAGAGTCAGAGGCAGAGACACAGAGAGAGACAGCGATAGAAAGAGACAAGCACGGGTAGAGAGCCAGAGCCAGAGCCAGACACTGACTGACTCAAAGACAAGGTGTGGTGGCACACACACTGTAATCCCAGCACTTGAGAGACTGAGGCAGCAGAATCACATTTCCAAGGTCAGTCTGGGGGTATGTAGTAAGGCCTTGTTTCAAAATATTTACAACTGATCCAACATTTTCACAAGAAAGTTCCATAAAGAGAACAATGAAATGAGAAGGAAGAATTAACATAGAAAAATATGACAGATGTTCCCAGAACCAAAAGACTCACCATTGCCAGATTAAAAGAACTATTGAGACAGGTGCAAAGACATTCTTTCCAGCGTGGTTTCTTGGCAGTGGGCATGGGAAGCATCCTGGGTGTCCCAAGCTGGGAGATTAAATATGTAAACTGTAGGATGCATACCGTGGCATGTGATGTAGCAATTAAGAGCAACAGATACCATGTGCACATGGAGTATAGGGTATCTTAAGAATGGTTCATGGAAAACAAAGAGACAATGCGATATGCTATCACATTTGTATATGTATAAAACACAATTTGCAAAAATACATTCAAATGAAAAGTTATGCATTGGCAATGTTGTAATAGTTTGTGTGGCCAGGTACTAGAATGCGGATGTGTAGACTAACCATGAAAATGTCTACTGAGCCCTCAGGACATCCAGGAAATCACACCAAGGTGACTCACCATGAATTTCAAACCATCGGAGAAAAGAACATCCTGAAAGCTTCTGCCAGTTGGGAACAGGGTTAATGTTTGGCTATAAAGAATCAGAATGCCAGCTGGGTAGTGGTGGCGCATGCCTTTAATCCCAGCACCCGGGAGGCAGAGGCAGGCAGATCTCTGTGAGTTCAAGGACAGCCTGGGCTACAGAGTGAGTTCCAGGAAAGGCTCCAAAGCTACACAAGAGAAACCCTGTCTCAAAAAAAACCAAAAATAAAATAAATTAAATAAAAAATAATGCCAGTGAGCTTCTCAGTGGTAACACTGAAAGTTAGAAGGCAATACAGAAGTTCTTAAAACTTCCTAACAGGAAAACAACTTTGAAGACCAAATGCTTTGCCTAGCCAGAGTGCCAGTTACCTGTGTGAACAGAGTAACAGCCTTTGAGGAAACAGCTACTAAAGAATATGAGTCACTAAGAACAAAGAAGAGTGTAAGAAAAGAAAGGAAGGCATGGAGCTGGGGGATGGCTCAAAGTTTAAGAGAGGGCCCACATGGCGGCTCATGATTGTCTGTAAACTCCATTCTCAAGGGATCTGACATCTGCAGGGTCTGCACACACTCAGTGCACAGACATGCATGCCAGCAAACAGTTACACATGTATAATAAAATAAAGTAAAGAAACAGAATAAACCTCAGAGAGAGAGGGGGAGAGAGGGGGGAGAGAGAGAGAAAGAGGGAGGGAGGGAGAGAGAGAGAGAGAGAGAGAGAGAGAGAGAGAGAGAGAGCAAGCAAGCAAACATGATACTCACGAACACAAAGGATACAGTAGAGAACAAAGACAAAGAGATTGAGCCCCAGTATTGTAGTGAAATAAAATGAGGGTGACAACACTCAGTCACTGAGAGGGTATCAGGATCAGACTTCAATAAGGTGCCAGAGGGTCCTAAAAATGCTATCTTTAGGAAACAAGTACAACTAATATATTCCCTGATGTGTTGTATTCGAACGGGTTCTGTGATTTGTTTTGGTCCAAACCACACAAACACAAAATAGTATATTCCTTCTCTCTTTATTCACCTCTGTCTCCTTTCTTTCCCTCCCCCATTACCCCAACTGAAGCATTTAATTCACAATATACAGAAGTACTACTCCCAAAGAAACGGAAGCACAGCAGGTCCTCTGTGTAGCTCAGCTGCCAACCTGGTTTCCATTGTTGATGCTGAAGTCTGAGCTAGCCTCTCACAGTGTTGCGACTGCCTTTATTACCTTGGGGGAGGCTGAGTATGGGGAAGGGAATAGGGTATCAAAGACCAAAATCTCAGGTTCCACAGTAAGCAAATCATTAAGTAGTCTCTAAAACTGAAAGATAAAGAAATGGCAGTGTTTTAAGTATAATATTTAGAAAA